TACTACTACTACTACTACTACTACTACTACTACTACTACTACTACTACCACCACCACCACCACCACCACTACCACTTCTTCTTCTTCTTCTTCTTCTTCTTGTTCCTCCACGAAGCCTGTCATTTGTCTTAGGAATTACATTTTCAGTCATAATTCATTTCATCCATGATATGTATACAGTGGCCGTCTTGTAGTGCACTCAGTTTCACCTGTTACTTCACGACATGTTTCGGCAATATAGTGCCATCATCAGGTGCCCTAATTACGCTGATCTATTGCATTGCTTCATTACAACACTCGCAGCTAAAAAGGGAACACACATCACAAGACACGGTTTACACAGAATATAAGAAAAACGACCCCCATAGTGGAAGAACCATATACAAGTTTTAATTATGACACATAAGATGAATAATCTTAACAAGTTTTAGTGTGTGTAAATTTATTATAGTTGACGAATACACACTTTTTACATACTTTTAAATAATTTTATAAAGACATATAACGGCAAGCAATGCAATAGATTAGCGTAATTAGGGCACCTGATGATGGCACTACGTTGCCGAAACATGTTGTGAAGTAACAGGTGAAATTGAGTGCACTACAAGACAGCAACTGTATACATATCATGGATGAAAATCAGTGCAACAGGACGCTAAAATACAACATTATAATTCATTTCGTATGTGTGTTTTCCAGTTGTTTCTATGAGCACTAAGTTCTGTGCTAAGTTTATTGCTAGCATCATCCTCATCATCTCTAATCTTATCTTGTCTTGTTATTCCAATTACTGATCTCAAAATTCCCATCTCCACAGCCTGCTATCTGCTCTTATCCCTGAATGTCACAGCCCGTTTCACATACCATAGAGCCACTTCTTAGTGCCATAGTTTTACAGAACTTCATCGGGTGTTCCAAGTTCGTTTTATTCTTCAGGGTTGTTCCTACATCGCCCCCCCCCCACACACACACACACACACACACACAGTTAAGTTCCTCCATTTTGTGACTCGTACCTACATCTCCCAAGTGTGAGACATAACCTCCCCCTAAAACTAATCTTAGTTCCTTATCTAATCACCTGACTTTCTGAGATGAGTTTTCATCTAATTGGCTGTTTCTCCATGAATGCCATTACTTTGTCTTCCTCAATACATTTTTGTACAGCTTGTTAAAGGCCCTCTGCATGGCATTTCATCATAGCCATTACCACCTGCTCATCGGCAAAACATTTAAGTTCTTATAAAATTTCTGTCCCTCAACTGATCTGGGCAATTCCGAGGAATCAGTTGTGATTTCCATGATCACGCTGCATCATCCGATTGCATGTTAAACTATACAGGCCACCTGTACACCCTTGTCTGTCTCCCAAGTTTATGTCTTTCTCATAGGATTCCTGACCAATGTGATGCTCCTGAAGACATTTCTGATACAAGATGTTCCAGAGCATTTGTGTCTTCATATTGTCAAATGACTTGACATGATCAGTGAATAAGATGTATAGCTCCTGGCTGAACTCGCTGTACTTTCGTGAAAGTTGTCTAATTTCATGTATATTATCTGCACAGGAACTTCCTTTCCTGAATCCTGGCTGTTTTTCCAGCAAAATTACTTTTGCAGTTATTTGTAGTTCGGTTGCTTTTATTTTAACAAATAATTTACAGCTTCCATTAAGCAGACTTATCTCACATTTTTTCCTGTCTCCTTTAGAAAAAACTGGCAATATTGCAGCTTCTTTCAAACGTTCAGCAGCCTTCCTTTGTTGCCAACACGAGTTTCAGATTTATAAGGAACTGTTCATTCATTTCTTTTGGGGACTATTTCATTATTTCTACATTCTCTCTGTCAATATTGCTCCAGTTCTTTCTGCTTGCACCACATTCATAAGCAATGCTGTGCTGCAAAATCCAATTTATTTCAATATGTTCTTAGAGAGGTTTTACAGACACTCTGTATGGTAAATACTACAAAATATGAAGCCCCTTTCTGTGTAAACCTACTTCCTTCTCCTCCTGGTCTTCCCTTTATACAGACAAAGAAAATACATATTTGGATTGATGTAAGATTCAATCCAAGGACTTCAGACGGTGGTGGACTGTACCTATGTTGAATTTCACGTTGAGTCGCTTTTAATGCGTCTCCAGAGAAGCATACATAGGGACAATGCACCTGGATTCAAGTCTTGATTTAAATTAAGAACATGGATTCTTCTGCTTTGCCCTCAGAGCACTCAAGATTATCGGATTCTAAGTAAGATTAACTTTTTTAAATCAAATCCTTGAAAATGAAAATGGTCTATGTCTCATGAGAAAATATTTAAGTCCCTTGGTACCACTGCCTAAAAGAGACCCATAGTACCAGCTCCTGGCAGGTGTAGCTTTCTCCAGCAACAAATATCACATGAAATACAAAGGGATTGACGCTGGGCCTTAGCAATAAAAAGTTGGCAAGAAACCACCTGAGTCAATACATCTCACAATTTCAAAGACAAACCTATAGGCCTAACCTACAGTAGTATTACTTTTCAGGAAATATACCGCCCACGGACAAGAATACTGTAGTAACTATGCAGCATCAGAACATACTCTGGGCTGCAAAGTCGGACATAAATGCTTCAGATTTTCAGAAGGGAAATTTGATTATTAGCTAAATAACTCCATGGAGCTCAGCCCTTCTTGCGAAACTGCCCGTCGCTCAGTTACTCAAGAATTTCCAAAGATTTCATGGAACCCCAAGGTTTATTGCCGTGTTCACAAGAGCCCTCCACTGGTCTCTATTCTGAGCCAGATCGATCCAGTCCACACCACCCCACTCTATCTCTTTCTAAGATCCATTTTAATATCATCCACCCATCTATGTCTTGGTCTTTCTAGTGGTTTAATTCCTTCTGGGTT